AAAAAAAAAAAAAAATAGCATTCTAAAATAAGAAAATTAGCTGGGTGTGGTAGCGCACACAGGCTAGAGTACAGTGGCATCATCACAGCTCACTGCAACCTCAAACATCTAGACTCAAGTGATCCTTCTACCTCAGCCTCCTCAGTAGATGGCAGGACAGGTACACACCACCACATCTGACTAATGTATTCTACTTTTAGTAAAGAGAGGGCCTCACTCTTGCTCAGGCTCATCTTGGACTCCTGAGCAGCAATCCTCTCAACTCAGCATCCCAAAGTATAAAAAAAATTTTAAATAAAAAACACTGGCAGAGGTTGGGCCATCCCAAGACTTAACTTCTTTTTTTTTTTTTTTTTGAGACAGAGCAGCAAGCTGTCCCCCTTGGGTAGAGTGCTGTGGCATCACAGCTTACAGTAACCTCCAACTCCTGAGCTCAAGTGAGTCTCCTGCCTCAGCCTCCCAAGTAGCTGGGACTACAGGCACCTGCCACAACGCCTGACTATTTTTTGGTTGCAGTAGTCATGGTTGTTTGGCGGAACCGGGCTGGATTCGAACCCGCCAGTTCAGGCATATGTGACTGGTGCCTTAGCCACTTGAGCCACAGGCACCAAGCCCTAAGACTTAACTTCTGAGGTCAACAGAAAGATAGGTCCTGAAATCTGTTGAACCAAAAGTGTTTCAGAATCAATTTTTCAGATTTGAGAAAATAATAGACTTTATATCATGTATTATGAAATACCCCACAGAATCTTGGGCAACATCCTATAACCAAACTCATTAATATTTCTGCAGCAAATGTATCATTATCTACCCTGAAAAGGATTAGTAAGAACTAAGAATAGTTGCACATAAATTCAATTTCTGCTAGCCAATGAGTTTGTTACTGATTTATGTAACAAGTAGATTCCTTCCAAATACTGGTATTACAAAGAACTCTTTTCCAAACATGATTCTAATAATTATGGAGCCAGCACCTTCATGTAATTAGACCAAGAATCTTTTTTTTTTTCTTTTTTGGAGACAGAGCCTCAAGCTATCTTCCTGGATAGAGTGCCCTAGCACCACAGCTCACAGTAACCTCCAACTCCCGGGCTCAAGAGAGTCTCCTGCCTCAGCCTCCCAAATAGCTAGGCTCACAGGTGCCCACCACAATGCCTAGCTATTTTTTGGTTGCAGCCGTCATTGTTGTTTTGGCGGGCCCAGGCTAGATTCGAACCTGCCACCTTAGGTGTATGTGGCTGGCGCCTTAGCCACTTGAGCCACAGGTACCGAGCCCAGGAATCTTTAATAAGAATGATAGATAAGGTTTGGCACCTGTGGCTCAAGTGGCTAAGGTGCCAGCCACATACACCTAAGG